CGAAGTAAGGTCTGTAACTAAAAAGTTTCAAAATATGAAAGCTCCAGGTGATGATGGAATTTTCTATATCCTCATCAAAAAACTCCCTTGTCTTTCTTGGTAAAATTATTTAACAGATGTTTCCATTTAGCATACTTTCCTGATAAATGGAAAAATGCAAAAGTTGTTCCAATTTTGAAGCCGGATAAAAATCCAGCTGAAGCTTCTAGCTACCGCCCAATAAGTTTGCTTTCTTCAATAAGTAAACTTTTTGAAAAGATAATTTTGAATAGAATGATGCTTCACATCAATACGAACTCAATTTTTGCAGATGAGCAGTTTGGATTTCGCCATGGGCATTCAACTACTCATCAACTCTTAAGAGTTACCAATTTAATTCGTTCAAACAAATCGGAAGGCCACTCAACTGGAGTTGCTCTTCTAGACATAGAAAAAGCATTCGACAGTGTTTGGCATGAAGGTTTGATTGCTAAATTGAAAAAGTTTAATTTTCCACTTTATATTATGAAATTAGTTCAAAATTATTTAACTGACAGAACTCTGCAGGTAAATTATCAAAATTCCAAATCTAATCGACTACCTGTTAGAGCAGGAGTTCCTCAGGGTAGCATTCTTGGGCCTATATTGTATAACATTTTCACTTCGAACCTCCCTGATTTGCCTCAGGGTTGCCACAAATCTTTGTTCGCTGATGACACAGGCATTTCCGCTTAAGGAAGAAGTCTTCGTGTTATTTGCAGCAGACTGCAGAAAAGTTTAGATATTTTCTCTTCTTATTTACAAAAATGGAAGATTTCTCCCAACGCTTAAAAAACTCAACTTATAATATTTCCACACAAGCCTAGAGCTTCGTTTTTGAAACCTAGTAGTAGTCACATAGTAACTATGAACGGAGTTCCAATTTCCTGGTCAAACCAAGTGAAATATCTTGGATTAATACTTGACCAAAAATTAACTTTTAAAGATCACATTGAGGGCATTCAAGCCAAATGTAACAAATATATTAAATGTTTGTATCCTCTTATAAATAGGAAATCCAAACTTTGCCTGACGAATAAACTTCTAATATTTAAACAAGTTTTTAGACCAGCCATGCTTTACGCTGTGCCAATATGGTCTAGTTGTTGCACTACCAGGAAAAAAGCACTTCAAAGGATTCAGAACAAAGTTCTGAAAATGATTTTGAAGTTGCCTCCCTGGTACAGTACTACCGAGGTACATAGAATTTCGAATGTTGAGACTTTAGAACAAATGTCCAACAAAATAATGAATAATTTCAGCCAAAAATCGTTGCAATCCTCAATTGCAACGATTAATTCCCTTTATACTTAGATAAGATTTAGTTTTAGTTTTTAGTTTTGAGATATCAATTGTTATACTGACATGCAGGTTAAAAAACCTGTTTAAAATACTTAATTGCCAAGACATGAACAATGTAAAAACACTTAGATATATACCATAACAATTAAGGCTGGTACGTTACTGCAGTAACTGGAGCACCTAGGTTAAAAATGGAATGTAATTTATTTTGAATTTGGAACAAATAAAGAGTACAAAAAAAAAAAAAAGGCGGAATGATATGTTTTGAGCCTGAAACTGAAACTTTGGACTAAAAGTCTCTTCTACTAAGTTGTTCCTTATAGTTAGGCCCTCATTTTTATGACAATGAATTCTAGGGTGGTTCCTATTATCATTAAAATCAAAAATCTTACTTTTTTGTTTGAATAAATTAAGGTATACATTCTTCGGCAAAGTTATAGCTGAGCTAATTTCAAGCAACTTTGTTGAAAATAACTTTTTTGTATCTCTTAAATTGGCTGATTTAGAGCTATTTTCTTGAATTGAGTTAGGGTGACTCTTAAAAAAACAGTTTTTTTGCTGTATTTTTCTTATTTCGAATTTCTCAGCAAAGGTGTCTAGAAATAACTTTTAGATCTTAAGAAGGCGCAAATTTTTGCTGCACAAAGCTTGTCAATATCTTTCGCCGATCAAGAGTTATTGACGTTTGTATACTAAAAATATATACTTTTCAAATGTTAATATCTCTGGTTGGGGCAACCAAAAAAAAAAGTTTTTTTGCAGCATTTGCAAAGGCGTATGTTATTCTCAATAATATGAAAAAAATGGAGGTATGTTATTTTTTAAACTCGTATAAAATCAGTTTGAATTTATTCATATTTTTTACTATATTTGAGTATACCTTTTTTTATTAGAAGAGATACAGGCAATAAATCCAGCTATAAAACATTTGTCTTAAAGAATTTTAAAAGTCTCTAGAAGATGACTTTCATGATAAATTTCAAATAAAAAAGTTATTGGCAAAAGATGGATTTCATAGGACGGTTCAAGATTGAACAACCGTGTGGGAGCAGGGGTAACTGGTCCAGCGATTGATATCTCAATATCCATGGGTTTCTGGCCAACCGTGTTCCAAGCAGAAATTCAAGCAATTCTTGAATGCTCTGTAATATGCTTGCGCAGGAATTATAAACATTCGAATATCTGCATTATGTCTGATAGTCAAGCAGCATTAAATGCTTCCAAACTCGTATGGGAATGTGCAATGTCACTTCAGAAATTGGCCTGTCAAAACCAAGTAAACTTATATTGGGTTCCTAGCCACTGTGGAATTGAAGGGAATGAGAAAGCCGATACGTTAGCCAGGCTAGGATCATCTCAGCAATTCATAGGACCAGAACCATTCTGTGGAGTTTCTACTTGTTGGAGATCAAGAAATGGAAAAAAATGAAAATGGAGACCAATTGGAACAACACTTCCATTGAGAGGTAGTCGAAATGGTTCATGATTCCGAACATTTCAATGACTAGCAAAATTCTTGAATTATCAAAGAAAGATCTCAGTGTCTATACTGGTTTGATAACAGGACATTGTCCATGTAAATATCATTTGAAGTTAATAGGAAAACTTCAAGAGGATATGTGTCGATTCTGTGGTATATAAAAGGAAGACTCTGAACACCTGCTATGCTCTTGTGCAGCAATCTTCAATAAAAGGCGTATTTTTCTGGATAAGGGGCTGGCAGAACCCTTTGATATTTGGAATGCAGGTCCCAGTAAAGTGGGACCTGGCTGGGAAAATTCTTTTGGTCAGTCTATGTCGGTCGCTTCACAAAATAGTGATACGACATAACTGATAAAGCAATATAAAAACGGGGAATATCACAATAGATAAGTAATGGTCGCAGTGATGGATATACCCAACACGGAAAAAAGACGCCTTCATGCGATTTAATGGCCCAAATTTTGCATAATTTGTGCCATGATGGGTCATGGCAAATAAATTTCAATTTCTGAATTGTCGAGTAGGTGCATTAAAATTTAATTTTGATAAAAGTTCTGCTGAGTTAATGCGCTGCGAAACGATATCGTTTACAAATGAAACCATTGCATATTCACGCCGCTCTCTCAATGTTTGTATGTTTATAAGTATGCAGCGTGCTTCATATGATGGAAGAGGAAATGATATCCAACCTAATTTACGAAGGGCATATAATAGAAATTGCTTTTGTACTGATTCTAATCTTTCTTCGTGCGTGATCGAAAATGGAGACCATACTATGCTGCAATATTCCAGTATTGACGTCGCATAGGCAATATATAGTGTTTTAATTGTGTGATAAAGCTTAGCATGTTATTGGCCCTGCGAATAATTGTATTGTAATGGTCTATGAATGTTAGTTTGGAGTCTAAGATAATCCCTAAATCCCTTACTCTTTCACCTTTTTCTGCATTCTGATTTCATAATGCAATTGAAATGTTTGATGATGTGCTTTTTTTGCTAAATAATATTAAGTTGCATTTTTTTTTTCACTGCAAAAACTGAGTGAATCCAATCTTTAGTTTTCTCATATTTGGGAAATGTTTCCTGGAAAAAGCTGGAAAATCCTGGAGGCAAATTTACTCATCGCTGAGTTATTGCACTTTATGCGATTAAATTCTCACTAATGCTCAGTTATTGCGTTTTGCCGTTACATATTCGGTTTTTTGTTTCATTAGCGTTATGCACAAAATCTTCGCATCTGGTTGCAATCAATGCAAGATAGCTTTAATTTTAGACAAAACCATTCACCAAACACTAACCTAAGCCGCCGGTTCCAAGTCCTGCAACCGTCACTGCCCAGGTGTGGAATACCCAGAACGAACGTTCTCTTCCATCCACCGTCGCACCACCAGCTCCAGTTGGAATCAACAAAAACAAGCACCAACCATTCAGTCAATCGAAAGCCTTCTCGGGGAAAAGTTGAATTTTCATTTCGCTTACCATCCAAGCTGTTGCCATCGTCGTTGCTTCTCTGGTGCCTTGCTGCTGAGGCTGCTAGTTGATGATGTTCGACTCCCCCTATGGACTACGGAACGGATCCACTATTACCGGTTCTGCTGTGCTGTTGAGAGCCGGAGAGCCGAGCACTCTGCTCGGTGGCAGTGAGAGAACACATTGAACCGCGTGTGAGTGTCTCAACCTTTTCGGGGCACGTTCACAGAATGCACGTAAACAGAGCGGAACTCGTAAAGCACTTCCCCCTCTAGGCGGCTGGGTGGTTCAACACGCGGTACGGCTGCTGCAAGACCTGCAGAAAGCATAAAGTGAACTTGTGTGTTATCATGTTTATTTACGGTGCAATAACAACCAACTGTTAATGTGGAAATTAGGAAAGCTGTGCCAACAAAACGCGGCACGGTTAGAAGAATAGAGAAGGGTAAACAAATCGTTAGGACTGTTTCAAAGTAATAGTAATTGTCAGGTGTCAGTGAGTGCGAGTGAAGATCAGAGGCAACAAGTCGTAACGTAAGATAGAATTTATGCGCTAGTAGAATAACATTATGTTGTCTCGAGAGTGCTGGTGCTTATGAGAGAAGGTGAGAGCAAGCAAAGAGCGAGAGAGTTGCGATCAGTACCAGGGGATCGCACGATCGTCGGCGGACCTTCAAACTGGCCAATTTCTGTTGAATGGATGCTGGTCCACAAGAGAAAGAGCTCATTCTGCGTTCGTTCGTGGTTGGCGTGAGGTTTTGAACTTGTTGCGCTCACTCAAGAAGAAAATAAAAGTGAACTTGAAGACAAACTGCGTGAGGCAAATATTGCTTCAAATCGGTGTGTTTGCGAGGGTTTTGTGTTTCTGCAATTTATTTTAGCTTTTTTTTTTCCTCACTCACCCATTAATCTACGTGGCTATAGCGGAACGTGCGCTGCCTGTGGTCGGTCTGTATGTAGTTGCCTACTTCCCAGAAGAAAATAAAAATCAATGTGAGTGTAAATTTTGAGGTTTCCTTCCCCTCTTCTCTGCGAGGTTTTATTGAGATAATTTGGCATGTGCAGACGAGTTCAATGTGAAGGTTTTCGGTCCTAACAATCCGGGGTTTGTTGTGGTAATGAAACAGTGATCTACAGGTGCGAGCGGGGTTTTACCCTGCTTCATCTCGCCAGGAAAAAAAAACCGAGCCAAGGCTGATTTAATTGAATTTTTCGAATTGTTTTCCCATCTGTTCGTGAATCGTTTCGTTAGAAAAGTGAACGTTTTGTGAATTTCCCAATTGCTTCGGAGTTTCTACACGTCAGTAGTCTACGTAGAATGTGCAACGAGCGACGTTGCGTTAGGTAATCCAGCCTATCGGGAGGAGTTTTCCGTGGTGAAATACGACTGTGGAACGTGGAACGGAAAGTGACAAACAAAAATCGAAACGGAAGGAAAAACTGAACACCGCGGAAAACCAGCGTGAAAGTGAGTCCCAACAGTAGCAGGCAGGCGACATAGAAAGGTGAATATTTAATTAGACGACAGTGTGGTTGTTGGTTTGTTTTGGCTTCTAGGCATTTATTTTTAAAACAACACCAAAAAGGCATTTGAGGAATTATTTTCTAGTGCTTTTCGGGAGACTGCACCCTGCTGTTGGCCCATCAGGTTGGTTGGATCTTTTGCCAGAGGCGGACGGATACACGTGCTTCGGTTGTCAACGATCCCAATGCTCATCGCGATGGGATGACGATCGGCCTTACAGAATTGATTTATTGCACTTGTGGCGGGGTGTGGAAACGGAACTAACAACATGGATTTGTTGTTGGGGGAACCGTTTTGAAATTAGATGCTGTTTTCGTAGAAAATTCTTCAACATCACATGTTGAATTGATTAATTGGAGACACGTTCCTATCTGTTTACTGAGATAGATACACGGCGACGACTTGATGCATACAAACATGCAACCAAATGAGACACATTGCATTGGAAAAATTTAGTATCGGAAATTAACGGATCATCTAGGAAGTGCTGAGACTTTCTTTAATACAATTGAAAATAATTTATTTAATAATTAATCTTTTAATAATTTAAAATAATACTGAGAAAACACAAATTGATGTGAGAATCGGTCCAGGTCAATATTGAACTGGTTTACACATTCATTTTTTGTTGGCTTAATGTTGAGTTGATTGATTTAATAAATCGATCATAACGTATTCCCAACAAAAATTTAATGTTGAATAAGAGCAGGCAAAAACAAGCTTCTTTAGCTAAAAATAGCTTATTCAGCTGTTGATCAACTCAAATTGTTTGTTGGGTTGAGCATAAGCATGACTATGAGCATGATTGACCCCAGTGGTTGTTACTCCACTATTACCAGATTACCTGTAATTACACAAAGAATCAACAGAAGATGCTTGGATGTAAAAAACTGGTGATCTCAAACATTAAAATAGGGTAAACCCACTAATAGTGGAGGTACGTTAGTGCAATGTGTTCCTATAGTGGCTTATGGAGTCTCCATAAGTCACTATAGGAACACATTGCACTATCGTACCTCCACTATTGGTGCGTTTACCTTAGTCAATTCCAGCGTCGGCCACGTCAGAATGCAGGTCAATTAAGGAGCGGGTAGGAATGTGTTGACGTGATACTCGCTTCGTTGATAGCCGAGAAATCTTCTGTACTTCCACGAAAAATTCACTGGGATGTTGGATAAAAGGGTTAAGCTTGCAGCAGGGATTGTTTTAGTAAACAATTCGCTGAATTATAGTGGTGTATTGATGTTAAGAATGAAAATGGCTAACAAACATTGAATAAAAAGGGGCCTGCGATTAAATCCATGATGTTCTGTTCACTAAGCAAAAACGGTCGCTCTATGGCCACCGAGCACCTCAGTTTACATAAGATCGCTTACCGTTTGATTTAGGCAAGGTTCGATGTTGGCCACACTAAATAGTCGGGTTTATTGCCAAAACCGAACGGGTACTGTATAATCAATAAAACGCGATAACGATGCTCCTCACACCCAAATAACCCGCTGCAACCAACGAGCTTTAGAACCTGGAGACATGAATCTACAAAAAAAAAATCTTTCAGCACATATGGCAATTCATCATTCAGCTGAGCCCCATGGGCATGGAGGTTGACGGTACTGAAGCAAAGGGTTATGTATAATTTCTTTATATTTGCAACGATGATGATTTCCTATAGTGACTCATATCACCTTCTTAATGCTTCAGTATGCCTCAAACGATTAATTCTTGGTTGTTAATAGAACTTCCTTGATGAAATCGGCTACTTCATGCAGACTGAGAAATTCTGATTATAGTATCAGATTTGTTCTGTATACAGAGGAACTGGGAGGGCTTTTTAGAAACTTCTCACCAATAAAGTAATGATCTTCTTATAAATTTTGCATATAATTTTATTAATATTTTATTTTATTTAAGCATAGTATTTTTCTTACAGTCAAATAGCATAAGCATACGATACAAGATATTTCATATTACCTGTTAGTTTTTGCGTAATATAATCTATATTTATTTCACTTGTAATTACCTTTCAAAGTTTTTTTTTCAAGTTTTTTTTTGTGATCTAAAAATTTTCTCAGTTTCGAAGCTAACGCATGTCCACAGGCCTAATAGGCAGAAAACGTGTATCATGAAGAATGTTTGCATGCAGGGTTGCTTCCACTCACTTGCTATAGATGAGTGATTTTCGGAGTTTTGAATTCGTTAGATGTTGTAATAGAGTGTTGTTGAATGCGGGAGAAGATTGGAGGGCGGGTGTTTGACGCATAGAGCCTGTCAATTTCACTTTCAGAGTGTTTTATGATTCGTGAGCGCTCGCAATTCGTAGAATCGTTGATTGTGACTGGATCTGGCGGGTTTTGTGTTCTGGACGCTTGCTTTTTGGCCTCTTCTTGTGTCTAACATGTGTAGAGTATCATTATAGCGTCTAATGGTTTTGAGATTCCTGGTTGCGTGAAATATATTTGTGAGACTATCTTTTTGAGATTTTAGTAGTCACGTTTTGTTTGTAGTTTATATTTTATTTCTTTCATGTAATCATCGTAAATAATAGTTTTTCAATAATAGATAGTTCATCCATATATTCTTATATATATGAGATGCTCGATGACCCTGGAGGGATCGATTTTGCTTACTGAGCAGAAAATCATGGATTTAACCCCAAGCTCTTCCACAGCACAATAAATCGCCACCATCATTTGTATATTTGATATTGAACATTAACCTCGGAACCTATTTGCATATCAAGCGAAAACGTAGTCCTGTATTATCGTTATGGTTCTGAGATGCTCGATGACCCTGGAATGATCGTTTTTGCTTACTGAGCAGAAAATCATGGGTTTAATCCCAAGCTCTCCGTCATGACTCTTAAAATTCATGATCACTAAACAAAATGAATATTTTCTTTCGATAGTCGGCTATAGAGAGATTAAATTAACAACAAATAAACAATACATACTTTTGGTTGCATCGCCAAGTTGAGGTAAATCCTAACCGAATACCCTACCCAACACTCCAACTCCGTAGCACTTATGAGGGTGTCGCTTAGTCGGTGGCCTTTCATTAAGTAAGTACTACATCAACATTTCCTTCCCTATCCCTAGTTATGGTAAAGATGGGCGTGGCCGGGAATAGCGACAGTCATGCTTCTGTTATTCTTGTTTAGATTGGAACCAATGTTTACTCCCCAGCATTATTCCTGAAAGTAGTCTAACTGAGAATTTCAGAAGAGACGTGAGTGTCGCTAGTATCCAATCTACGAAGTATATCATAACAACGCTAACGCTATATGGCAATTCATCATTCAGCTGAGTAATTCCAGGTCAAATACACAGCAAAAAAATAATTTTAATATCACATCAAAGTGGATGCACTGCAATCGTGTCGAAAATATGGTGTAATATTATTTTCCAAAAAGGACAAAATTATCATTATTACAGTGCATGAACTGATATTAGGGGCCTCATAGCCTAGTCAGTAAAGACACGGTATTACCAAGCTGGAAGCGGAGGGTTCGATTCCCGGTCAGGTCGATATCGATGGAACTAATTTAATTGTAAGTACCTCCAACGTATTTTTGTTTTGAATCGTGTAACACAGTGACATTATCCTACACAGCAAAAAATAAGTTTTAATATTACATCCAAGAGGATGCACTTCAATCATGTCGAAAATTTCACGTATATTTTATGACTACAAAAATAAACAAATGCAGTAAAAGCAGCGTAATGTCAGTTCATGCACTGTATTAATGATCATTTTGCCCTTTTTGGCAAGTAATATTACATCATATTTTTGACACGATTGAAGTGCATCTACTATGATGTTATATCAAAATTATTTTTTTGCTGTGTAACAACTTAATTTTCATCTTCACTATAGACTAAACAATCCTGAGCTTTTCGATTAGGGGCTGTTCACAAACTACATTGAATTTTTTTTTGAAAGTTGCAAGAATTTTTACCCTTTCTACCGCTGCATAGATATTCATAAATAAAAATATTAACAAATAAAGGACCATATACACTCGAACATGCCCACCCAACATTCCCCACGTGGTGTATGAACGGTCACTAACGATAAAATGAACTTGTTTTATTCCAGTTTCTTTTTAAATAAGTTCTGCCTGGTTATACAACACATCTCAGAAATGGTTGTTATGGTTTTTAACTAGATAATACTTATTATTTATAATTTTGCCAGTTAGGTTTTTGATATCCTGGATAATGAATAAACAAACAATATAGTTTAATAAAAAATCTATCAATGGGTTTATTGGTATTAGAAAGATAAATTCACACTTTAAGGGGATACGATTACATTTACAATTACTTCCGACGTCAAAAATCGAATCAGCATCCCAAAATTTTCTAAAAATGTGATTTTCAGCCAGCATCTGGAACAATGTTGGTTTTGTCCGACTTTGTAGTAGGGGAAATGCCGGCTTCGGCATGGCAGACTATTTTCGGCAACCCAATTTGAAACGCTAATTTCATTGGATGTTCTTAAGAAAACACTTCGCTGAATGCATTCAAACGATTCTTTAGGCTTTCAGCTTCAATTTGAATATATTTTTACCACTGAGAAAAAAGCAATCTAGCAGGGTTTTCTTGAAATGAAACACACGCACTCTAAAAGGCTGCTGATTTCGAGTTGCCGATGAAAGCAAAGCTGTTTAACACGCAGCTCAAATAGAACGGTTGCCGAATAAAAAGATGTTGCCCACAATAGTCGCTCTCACTAGAGAAGATTGGAGCTTTGTAAAAGCGTTTCAAAACAGTTTTTGACAATTATTTCGACTGAAATTGTTAGAGCAGCTGGCAGCAAAAGATTGTAAACAAACCAATACTGCATATGTGTGCGTTCCTGAGAGAAAAAGGCTATAAAAAGATGGTCGCTGCTTAGGTTGCCGAGAATACGTAAATTCCCCTACTTTGACTTTGGAGGGCTTTGTATGGAGGCCCGTCACTGAGTGGCGCGTTGCTGAAA